CCATAAAAAAAACCCAACAAAACCCTGGCTTTTGACAGAAAGTGGAAGAATATGGAAGATTTACTGCTAAGTGAAGCAAGCCAGGCTATGAAGGAGAGACACTGTATGTCCCCACTTAATATACCGAGTGTTTGCAATCTATGACTGAAACTGATTGACTAAAGAATATAGAACATAGTAAATGGGTGTAAATACCATATATAGTGTGTGTGGAAGAGCAGGGTCTGAGAAAGGACATTAAGAAGAAAAATAGAGAGGCAAAGCATTAATGGGACAAAGAAATGTGGTATGTTGAAGACATTTTATAGTTTGATCAACTGGACTAAGGAAAAATGTTCACATGTTGAAATATTCCATTTGTAAGCTAAATAATGTGACTGAATGTAAAAAAGACAATGAAAAAAGTAAATAATAAAAATAATCACAAATATCCTAAGAGAAAGATTTAGGGAGACATTTCTAAAACATTTTGTGTGTGTGTGTGTGTGTGTGTGTGTGTGTGTGTGTGTGTGTGTGTATGTGTGTGCATGCACACACGTATGTGGGACAGAAATTGTATGGGTAATTCCTACTACATTTTCTAATTTTTACCACTATGCATATATGTTTTTCTAAAGAAAAGGACTAAAAGAGTTTAATAATTAATTAAAAACCAGTGAAAAGATGGAAAAAAAGACTATGGATAAAAGAGCTAACTAAATTTCACACAGAGAATAAACTTAAGAGAACTAATGACTAAGACTTTAGTTTCTTAGAGTTACCTGATCTTTTTCCGCCCTGGGCCGTACCTGCCTTCTCATCCTTTGGAACCAGTTTCTGCATGTCTGCTTGGCCAAATTCACATCCAGATGGTAGGCTGCAACAAGACAAACAGGACATCAATTGCTTACAGTTTACCTCTTGTATTGCACATGGTTTCTAAATTAGTTGGCTGACATTATTATCTATCCTATAGCAGGTAAGTTAACCTAAATGTTAATAAAACAGTCAGAATTTCTGAGATAGCTTCAACAAGGTTTCCAACTTATTTTTTAAATCTAACAATAGGACCAATTTTTAAACACTGATCATGCTGACACAGCCTAACTGGGGTACAAGATGCTACAATCTGTCAGTATGTCCCTGGGCTGGTAAGTAGGAAGGGCAAAAATCCTCTAAATTATTAACCATAACTTTCCATCCCTGAACAAAGCAGTCCTCCAGGCTTGTTGAGCTGAATTTTTCTGTCAGAAAGGCTAACATGGAGGTACACAGATGGTGACATTGCCTGGGATGTTCTAAGCCTCATAAGATGACTAGATTTAGTTTCTGGGTCACCCTGAACATGCCGGGTATGGTGGTACATGCCTGTGATCTTAGCTAACTGGGAGTAGAGGGCAGGAAGATTGAAACATAGCAAGACTGTGGCAAAAATACCTATCTTTGTTTCTTCCCCTTTCATGAAAGGAAACAAAAAAACTAACAGAGATTAATGAGAGGACCATTCTCTTACCTGTTTGGGGTACACAGAGAAAGGAGAACAGTGCTTTCCCACACCAGTGAACAGTATAACTGGCTCAGTTTGCTCAGAACACTCAGACCCAACTGCGAGCCCCATTGGTTTACGGAGATGGAACGAATTTCACTCTGCGACCAAAGAGGAAAAAAAAATTTACCTTTGGGTTGTTCTATGAACAATTATACTAAAAATCAACTTTCAGCTATTGGTAGGAATTAGGGATTGTTTTTCTTTAACTGTTATTCCCACACGTGACTTGTCCACTTTAACAAAATGTCCACATCGAAGACCACAGCTCCACAAGGTATTCTCTTACAATATTTATAAACTGGGGACCAGCAAGTGGTATACTGGTTAAGGCATTGGACTCCCACGAGGCCAACTATGGTTTAAGTCCTGAATCTGGTGGCTTGAAAATCACGCTGGGTGTATGTGCATGCATGTAAAAAAATCACATGAACAGAATGGAAGAGAAGGGACTGCTGCATGGCCAACTCCCTGGTAGGTGATTTCTTGTTTTCTCTCTGTCTCTTCAGTGAGTACATGTGCCCTATAGCAAAAACCTTTCTTTCAAAAGAAACTAAATACAGGGACCAGCAGATTTGTAATGGTTATGTTGCTAGACTCCCATGTAGTCAATCGCAGTTCAAGTCCCAGACTGGTGGTGTAAAACACACTACAGGGGACCAGCAGGTGGCGTGGTGGTTAAGGTACTGAACATTCCCACGTGGCCAACCATAGTTCAAATCCTAGACCTGGTGGCTTGCTTTCTCACTTTCTCTCTCTCTATGTGTCTCTCTGGTCAAAATAAAATAAGTAAATGAATAAATTAAAAAAAAAAAACCAACAACAACACACACACTCCAGGTGTGCATGCTTACGTGCATGCCTAAAATTCTGAAAGGAGAATGGAGAAAGAACTGTGGTATGGCCATACCCCTAGGGGAGTGATTTCTTGCTTTCTGTCTGTTTGTCTTTGTTTCTCCAGTGAGTGGACATGCCCTATAACAAAAATCTTTCTTTCAAAAATAAATAAATAGAGAGACCAGCAGATGCATAATGGTAATGTCAATAGACTCCCATGTAGTCGACTGTGGTTTGAGTCCTGGACCTGGCTGCTTAAAATTTACGCCAGATGCATGTGCATGTGCCCCAAATCCTGAGAGGATGATTTCTTGCTAAGTCTGTCTCTCTCTCTCTGGCTAGCGCACGCACTCTATAGCAAAAATCTCTCTCTGGGGTCAGCAGATAATGTGGTAATTAAGCGAGCTGGACTCCCACATGGCTGACAACGGTTCAAGTTCTGGGACTGGCAACTTGCTTTCTCAACTACTTTCTGAATTATTTTGTGTGTGCGGCGGGTGGAGGGGGGCCATGTTATTTCCCTTAAATTTCTGTATTTCAGTAAATACTTGGATTTATTTAATTCCTTGGCTATTTCATTACACTTACATTTTATTTAATAAAAAAATCACAAAAATAAAGTTCTAAGCTTTGTTATGTAACTCAATTTCCCAAATAGTTTATAATTGTGCTTTAATTTGACTGATCCTCAGGTGGCACAGAATATACTCCTGCTCAATGGCATAAAATAGGGTTAGTGGGCCAGCAGGTGGTGTGGTGGCTAAGGATGTTGGATTCCCATATGGCCAATTGTGGTTCAAGTCCCAGACCTGGTGGCTTGCTTTCCCCCCTCTCCCTTTCTCTGTCTCTCTCATTAGATTAAATCATAATAAGTGGAATTAAGATAAATAAATAATTCTTAAAAAAAATGAAAACAGGGTTAGTAAGCTGTTATATCATTAATCTTTAGAATCAATTACCTGAGGAATAAAGGTAGTGAAACTGCATACACACAAAAATGTCTTCTTTATGGAATCATAAAGATATCACGATTTTTAGGAAGAGGGTTTGATATTTAGGAAATTTCTAGTACAGTAACCTAGTTACTATTGACTTAAATGTTCTGTGGTGGTATGTCTTCTACCACTCCAAAATCAAGCCTACCTGCACTTGCACAATGATTAGACAGTAATAATACCAGATGAGTAATGACTTAGGTATGCCTGCTAAGAAGTGTAATCATACATCTCAGATAGCCTACATATATCTGTAGTTAATACAGATCAAATAATGACCGGTAATTATTTATAACAAACTCATTCTCAAGGAGGTCCAGTTTGTATGATAAATTATATGGTTACCTAATGTCTAAAACAAAACAAAACACACAAAAACCCCAGAGAAGTATGAAACTACATACATCAACTCCAAATATAAACCCAAATTTCCCACCAAAAAGTTAAAATCTGCTGAAAAAAATCTTACCCTAAATCTGACTTTCATTTCATTTACCACAAACTTTTTGGTCCTCTCAACTTTAAATCAACATGTTCATTCCTAAGATTCATTCGTCTTACCTGCCCAACTCTGCAAGTATGAACGAACATCATGATATAGGCATGGGCAGCAGTAAGTGCATGAAGCAAAGGCGTGGCCTGAGCTGAAAGGGTAGCATCAGCAACGTTGCCGGCGCAAGCCAGTTCTCGCAACAGCACTGAGCCCCCAGGTGACTCAATGGGGCGGTGTAAGGGCTCCAAGGAGGAAAGGATGGAATCCAACTGAAGGAGACCCTCTTGAAGGACTTTGGGTTCATGAGATAATGTCTGAAATAAGAATTAAAATGTTAATATATAATGACCTTCATATGCATCATGTCTTTAACTGTCACATAAGTGACTATTAAGTGGAAGTTTTCCACATTCTCACCTGGTAAATGGTGGAGCTAAAATATGAAAGTAGGTATAAAAAAAGCTCAAAATGCTTCATTCTAGAACACACTACTTTCAAATTTGTTGAAGTGACCACACATACAAGCTTGTGATAGCCAAAATGGTTATAGCAAGAACTGTATACCTGAGATTAATTTAAAAACTTGCTTAACAGGGAGCAATGTAAGGAAAGGATCAAAGCATGGAATGAATCACTATTGAAGCATGGAATGTATCACTGTAACTATTAGATTGTTGGGAAAGCTATAATGTGTTTTTCTATGCAAAGTCACGCTTTCATGACTTTCCCAAATACCCAAACATTTTCTCCATAAAACAAGAGAGATGATTCTAGGATAGGCCACCAGGCAAGTAATTTACTTGTTTTACCAGGCAACCCAAGGATATAGCCTTTGTGATCCCTTTCAGACTCTGGAGAAAAATATGACAGTAAAACACTACCATCTACCATGCAAAGACAGCAGACAAAATGTGCCTTCCTACTGTTTAAGTAAATCTATCAGTCCTTTCCACCTTCTCTCTTATGAAAAGCACTTAATTCAATGTTTTCAAGAGTAAAGCAAAAATAGAACTTAAATGTAGTTACTTCATAACTATGGCTCTTTCCAAGTCTGTGAACTGGAATAATGATTATTAGCAGAAATTACCTGCTGTATAAGCTGTCTATTAAAGGACAACCTTCACAGATTTAATGTAATCACTATCAAAATCCCAAGGGAAACTCCCCCTACTAATTTCTGTTTTCACAGAAATTGGAAAATCCCTCCTAAAATTCATAGGGGATCTTGAGGGACCCCAAAGAATCAAAACAATCTTAGAAAAAATAAAAAACGAATTTGGAAGTCTCACACCTCCTGATTTCTAATAACATTACAAAGTTAAGAAACCAAAGTTGTGGTACTGGCATATACCAATGGAAGAGAACAGAGTGCCCAGAAATAAATCTTCATATGTATGTTGACAAGGGATCCAAGACCATTCAACAGGGGAAAGGGCAGTCTTTTCAATGAATGGTACTGGGAAAACTGGATATCCACAAGCAAAAGACCTTATATTACACCATATAGAAAAATTCAAATAGGATAAAAAACTTAAACGTAAGAGCTAAAATGATAAAACTCCTAAGAAAAACCATACTGGGGAAAAGCTGTATGTTAAAGGATTTGGCAAAGATGTCTAAGATCTGACATGTACAAAGCACAGGCAACAAAAACATAAACAAAACAAAACAAAACATAAACCAAATAAAATGGGTTTCATCAAAGTGAAAAATGTGCATCAAAAGGCACAATCAACATCATAAAGGCAACTCTTAGAATGGAAAAAGTATTTGTAAATCATGTATCTGATAATTAATATTAAAAAAACTCCTACAACTGAACAACAAACCCTAAAGAATCTGATTTTAAAAGAGCAAACGACTTGAACAGACAATTCTTTAAATAAGATGTCTATGTATAGTTGTCAATAAGCACAAGAAAAGATGCTTAACATCACCAATCACTGGTCAAAGCCAATATAAGATACCACTTCACATGCACAAGAATGTTATTTTAAAAAACCAGAAAATAAGTGTTAGGGAGAATGTGGGGAAATGAGAATCACTGCCCATTTCTAGAGGAAATGTAAAATAGTACAGCTGCTGTGGAAAAAAATATGGCGGTCCTTCAAAAAATTAAACAGAATTACTAAATAATCCAGATATTATATTTCTGGGTACACATACAAAAGAAAAGTAGGATCTTGAGAAATATTTATACACCCATGTTCACAACAGCATTATACACAATAGCCAAGAAGTAGAAGTAACTCAAGTGTCATCAATTGCATGGATAAATGAAATATGTGGTGTATATGCATATAGTGGACTATCATTCAGCCTTAAAAAGAACTTATAACACATGCTACAAAATGAATGAACCTTAAGGACATTTTGCCAATAAGCTAGTCACAAAATAAGAACCATATTATTCTACTTATATGAGGTAGTTAAGCAGTCAAATTTAAACGCAGAATGTAGAATGGTACTTGCCAAGGGTTGGAATGTGTGGAGAATAAGGAATAGTTGTTTAATGGGTATACTTTCAGTTTTGAAAGATGAGAAAAGTTGTGGAGATTGGGTTTTCAACCATGAATATATTTGAACACTACTGAACTGTACACTTCAAAATGGTTAAGAACATAAATTTCACGTTATGTGTAGTTTTATCACCATGAAACGTAAAATAAAGGAGAGCTACATTTTTGGCAAAATTTAAGCAGTGAACTAAAGGTCAATTAAGCTCTAAATATATGACCATCAATCTTAAAAAAGGGGAAAAAGTGGCCAGCAGGTGGTGTGGTGGTTAAGGCCCACAGTTCAAACCCTGGACCCAGTGGCTTGAAAATCATGCCAGGTGCATGTGTGTGTGTGCACAAAATCCCAAGAGGAGAATGAAGAAGGGACTGCAGTGTGGCCTCCCCTCAGGGGAGTGATTTCCCACTTTTCTCTGACTTTCTCTGGTGAGTACATATACTCTATAGCAAAAACATAAAAAGGGGAAAAAAGATACTACAACATTAGAATGTGTTGACAAAGCACACATAACAAAAAAGGGAAGATATAGTAATAATACCCAGCAACAAAAATTTCTTGGAGATGATACTTTATAATAATTTCAAATAATGTTAGAACTATATACTAAACTCAGAAACAAAGAAAATTACTTTGACTTTTCAATGAGAAATAAAATGATACACACTATATCTCAGTCACAAAATTCACTTATAAAACATTACACAAATCTATTCATTATTTTTAGGTTGATGTTAAGAGAGACCACAGTAAAAACACTCATACAAAAGTATCACAAAATTTCTAAAAAGAAATGAAAATATTTGGCCAGATGCTTCTTACCAATATGGATTTGCATACACCTGCAACAGCCTGACAGGCAACAGATGTGGGAAAATCAATAGGCAGATTGGGAAGACCCAAAATGGTGACCAAAGGCAAGAGTCCTTTCTGATTCACAAATTCCTGGCAGTGGTCATCTGTTGTATTGTTGCTCAAAATAGATTCCACGAATTTCATCTAGGTAATAAAAAATTTTTAAAAAATTTAAGAGTTTGACAGTTGAAACTAAAAGGTCAGAACTTGGAGTAAACACAGCGGTAGCCTTGTGGTAATGAAATTAGCATTTTCAAGAATACCAAAACCTTAGGTTAAAAAAGGAAAGATATATGGTTATGTATCCCAAAACACCCAAAACAGGGTAATTACAACCTATACCCAGTCTACCTTTTAACAACATCAAAAGTCAGATATAATAGAGAGGTTAAGTGACTTGCTTGGAGCCACACTATGGTGGCAGAATCAGGTCAAATCTATTAATTTGCTAATTTAGTTTTTCTTATGTGATAAGATGTTGCCTCTCCCCTGAAAGTAAAAATCATGGATAATTTTGCTTATATGTGCTTACAATGAAATAAAATCTGAGTGGTTCAGACCAGGTAAAGTATTTTTAAGAATAAAAAAGTAAAATGGGCAATAAACTCATAGGAAAAAGACAAACCACCTTTAGAAGTGTTTAGTAAGCTAGAGCAAATGCTAAATGGGCTTTCCCTTATTGGTAAAAAAAAAAAAATTCTGGGAAAATTCAAACTCTCTACTTTATCCTGTAAGATACTGAGAAATTAACAGAAAAGGCTACTCTGACTGAAAAACAGAGAAAATTAATTGGAAAAATGGAAGGTAATGGGAAAACATGTTACATAACAGATGTTAGATACATTAAGAAAACATAATACTGGATTGGTACAACAAACTTCACTTTCTTGCTATAGGGAGTCCAATGGGGAATGGTAACATGGAATAGAAAATTGGGAATATAAATAGGGGAGAGTATGTTGGCTAATTTTTGGCCAACTAGTCTAATGGCATGCAAACAAAAGTTATGCAAATCTTCTTCCTCTGATCTTTAAGAACCCCAGGCAAAATATATAAATTACTGGACTGATGATAACGTCACACATGTTTTAGGGAAGCACATGCTTTTACTCCGTTTGGCCTAGAATGAATCTTACCACATTAAGGATGTAATCCATGAGGGGAATAGGAATACGTTCCTCTGTACCAACAACCCTGTTAAGGGAGAAAAGAGTGAGTTACAGAAATTCATAACATTGGTACAAGGGAATAAAGTGAGGAAAGGGTCACAGTATGAAACTCTAGGCCTTTGTAAAAGTTAGACTTGGGGGCTAGCAAATGGTGTGATGGTTAAGGTGCTGAACACACCCACATGGCCAACCACAGTTTGAGTACCGGACCTGGTAGCTTGCTTTCTCACTTTCCCTCTCCCTCTCTCTCTCTGGTCAAATTAAAATAAACAAATGAATAAATAAAATTAAATAAATAATTAAAAAAAGGGTTAGAATCAGCCCTCAGACTCATAGCATGGGGGCAGGGAGGGGGAAAGAGCTGAAATCAATCTTGAAGCTATTTTCCTACCATGACTAGGATTGAGAGTATAAAGAGAAAATTCCCAAGATTATAATGGAGGCTAGCAACATTGTAGCTATCACAATGTTGTAGTGCAATACATTATCACTGTATTCTTGGTAATGCTGGAGTAAACAAACCTACTGTGTTGCCGGTCATATAATAGTATCTATGGTTGGGCACAGTACATATTTGATAACAGCAACAAATGACTGTGTTAATGGTTTATGTATTTCCTATACTACGCTTTTTAAAAATTACTTTATAGAATATCCCTATTTATATTAAAAGTTTACTGTAAAAATAGTATGCCCTGTTAAACTGGTAGCAACCTCACGCATTTCATGTTCACCACATCTCTTCGTTGCATCATTTTTCTTGTGCTTGTTTTAATCTCATTTGGTTTTGCTCATCGTGGTCCTTCCAGTGGGACAAGATGTAGAGGTGGAGGACAATACTGATAATTCTGATCTTTCGTGGGCAGGTCTAGGCTAAGCATATGTTTGTGTCTATTAGCATTTTTTAAGGGTTTTGCCATAGTATGTGTGTACTCACATGAGACAGAGAGAGACAGTGAGAGGGAATTATCCCCAAGTAGGATGGCCATGCTGTAATCCTTTCTCCTCCATTCTCCTCCTGGGAATCTGGGCATGTATGCACATACACCTGGTCTGAGTTTCAAGTCACTGTGTCCAGGACTCAAACTGCAGTTGGATATGTGAAAGTCCAACACCTTAACCACTATGCCACCTGTCATCCCCTGTCTCCTACCCCCGTCTTAGTTTTCAACAAAAAACATTTAGTAAAAAAAAGCTTATAGAATGAAGATATAAAAAAGAATTTTTGCACAGCTATACAATGTGTTTAATGTTTTTAGCTAAGTGCTATTATAAAAGAGTAAGAGTTAAAAAAATAAAAAGTTTATAAAGTAAAAATGTTACAGTACACCAAGGTTATTATTCAAGACAGAAAAATTAAAATAATAAATTTAGTGTAACCTAAGTATGCAGTGTTAAGTCTACAATAGTGTACAGTAATATCCTAGGTCTTCACATTCACTCACCACTTACTCACTGACTCACCCAGAGCAACTTCTGGTCCTATAAACTGCAGTCATTGTAAGTGCCCTATACAGGTGTACCATTTTTTATACGATATTTTTTACTGTAGCTCTTCTACTTTTAGATTGTTTCAGTGCAGCATCCCAGATGAGAAGGTTGTAATAATGCCATAGCTGCAGAAATCATAGCCTTTAGCACAATGGCTACACCTTGACTTTTGTCAATAAAACAACAGAAGGAAATAACCATATGCAGTACAATGAAATACAATGAAATATAAATCTCAAGGAGGAACAAAATATAACCCAAAGATGGAGCATTTTGCAAACAGGTCTTTGAACAGACTTGGGCAGGAGGCTTTGGGGAAGAGGCAGAGAGAAGTGAGGTAGGCAGAGAAGACAAGGCAAAAAAACTGGCAAAAAGTTATTAGTTCTTATCTCTGGGCAAGAGAAAATGTGAATGAAGATCTGACAGGCACGAGAACACTTGGCAGCAAAATGTAGAACAGAAGAGTGGAGAAACATTATGAATGGTATTAGTGATCAAAAACATCCAGAAATAGGGGTTTTGGCAGGATATTATGAACATCTTTGATGACAAATTTAAGGAAGAACTTTTTGCTTTATTATTGCTAAAGGGTGCCTGTGCTTGCAGGGAGGGAGAGAGGTAAGGGAAGGAAAGAAAGGAAGGAGGAAGAGAGGAAAGAGAGGGAGGGAGGGGGAAAAGGGAGGGAAAGAAAGGAAGGAGGGAGAGAGGAAAGAGAGGGAAAAAGGGAAGGGATGACACTCCCCTCCCATGGGGTGTGGTCACACTACCATCCTTTTTCCTTATTTCTCCTCCAAGATTTTGGGTAGCATGTGTTATTCAAACCATGGGGCCAGGATGTGATTTGCGATTGGCTGGCCCTGGGATAGAACTTTGTATAAAGGGAGACCTATTAACAAGAATGAAAATTATTCTACAAGGATAACGACACTTTCTTGGACTGTATAGTTCTTCCTCAGAACCACTGCAGCACTCCCTGTTACTTATGCCAATTAACATCCCATCTTGGTCTCACCTTCTTGGAAAGACATTAGAGACCCACTTCTATGGCTAAGAAGTGCAGGTGTGGCTTCAGTCCAGTGAGATACTTGCCCCTTTGCAGAAACTAAATATGATAATGAAAAGCCTAAGTAATATAATAAAATGGGACCGAGATCTCCCTTCATTCGATAGAAGCTGGGAAGAAGAATGAGAGAGAAAGCAAGTCAACGGGTGGTTCCAATAAAACTCCAGGAACAAAACTATTCACTATGACTTTTTTGTCTCCCTCATCTTTTGACTCTAAGGCTCAGGAAGCCTTACAACAATACTAAAAATGATCACCTCTCTCCAATAGAACTCTACCAACCAAGTGGTTTCAGGAAGTCATTCTTAACCGTATTTGAAACTCTGATTATGGCATCTTTTAAACAATAAAAGAACTTATTCCCATAATAAATAATTTATTATAATTCAAATTTAAAACTTCCCTAAATATAAGCAAGTTCTTCAAAAGTTCATGGAAATATACTTTATGGGGGCTAGCCATGGTGGTTAAGGCAACTGATTCCACAACATGGTTTGAGTCTCAGATTCAGTAACTTGAGAAACACACCAGGTACAAATGCATACATGCCCCAAATCCTGACAGAATGGAGAGGGGACTGCAGTATGGCCCTACCCCTGGGGATGCTTTCTCACCTTCTCTCTCTGTCTCTCTCAGGCAAGCAATCATGCCCTATAGCAAATTAATAGAGAAAGAAAACACACATTATAAAAAAATATTATGAGGATCAGCAGGTGGCATAGTGGTTAAGGTGCTGAACTCCCACTTAGCTGACAGCGGTTTGAGTTCTGGACCCAGAGGCTTGAACTCTTGCTGTGCATGTGTGCATGCATGCCCAAAATCCAGGGTGAGAATGGAAGAGAAGGGACTGCAATATGGCCATTCTCTCTTTGGGGCGGTTTTTTACTTTCTCTCTATCTCCCTGGAGAACATATGTGCCCTATAGTAAAAATATCTCTCTAAAAGACAAAAACAAAAACAAAAGGAACATAGAGAAAAAAAATCACTATGCATGGATTTAAAAATCTAAGCATGGGACCATGGCGGGGGTTAAGGTGCTGAGCTCCCACATGGCTAATTGCGGTTCAAGTGCCAGATCAGATGGTTTGCTTTCCCACTTTACTCTCTGGTCAAATTAAAAAATAATGACAAACAGAATTAAATAAATAAATCTTTTTTTTTTTTTTCTCCTTAGGTTTTTGCCTTAGGGCACGTGTGCTCCTGGGTAGGAGGGGTGGGGAGAGAGAAGGAGAAAAGGAGAGAGAAGATAGAGGGAGGGAGGGAGGAGAGAGAGGGAGGAAGGAGAGAGAGGGAGGGAGGGAGAGAGGGAGAGGAAGACAATGAGAGGGAAAGTGAGAAATCATTCCCCAGAAGGGGATGGTTATGCCATGATCCCTTTTCTTTCATCCTCCTCTGAGGATCTAGAGCATACACACATGTCCAGTGTGTTTCAAGCCATCGGGTCTGACTCGAATTGCGATTTACTATGTGGGAGTCCAGTGATGTAACCATTATGCCATTTGCTGGTCCCAATAAACAATTCTTAAAAAAAACAAAAAACAAAAAACAAAACAAAACAAAACAAAAAACACTTTGCGGGCCAGTCAGTGGCATGGTGGTTTTAAGGGGGCTGCATCCTATGTGGCTAACTTCACAGTTTGAATACCGGCCCTGGCAGCTTACGAAACACACCAGGCACAAATGTGTGCCTGCCCAAAATCCTGAGATGAGAACGAAGGGATTCTGGTGTGGTCATTCCCCTGGGAGTTGATATCTCATCCCACATCCCAAGAATGCACATGCCCTATAGCGAACTGAAATAACAAATTTCTTTGCACCAAAATGAACTTGATAAAAAAATTGATTCCATTTTCCATGAACTTATTGAAGTTAACCTTGTATATACAAACCCAAATTCAATTTTACTCTGGTTAATTTAACATGTGCATTTATGGTGGCAGAGTTCCTGATCAGAAGGAAGATTTCAGTTTGGTGTCAAAGCACAATGTACAAAACAACAGATCTCTTATCTCATAGTTTTTTCTTTCTTTTTTTTTTGTGAGAGGGGGGTGGTGCTGGGGGTGGAATCAGGTGTTTATTTCAGGTCCTGAGAAAGCTACATTTGATAAAGAGGCTCTCTTGGTGGGTCACATTTCAGGAAACAACTACTTCTCTGCAGTCACTTGCCCTTACTTATTATTATAATTTTTACTGCCAGAGGACTCATATATTTGTGCACTTGTGCAAGCAAGTGCATGTACCCCCAATGCAGCATTGTGATGCTGTAGTCCTCCTTCTTCCAGTCTTCCTTCCCATCAGGATTTTGGGCACACATTCACATAGGCCTGGTGTGTTTATCAAGCCACAGGCACTGGGATTTATACTATGGTTGGCCACATGGGATCTGGCTTCTACAAACAGCTACACTTACTGCCTTTAAAGTCCCAACAGACAACCATGGAGCACAGACATTCAGTATGGGGACATACTAGGCCTCTCTTTCATGGTCTGGCTTACTTTGCTTGGGAGAAAATCAAGAGGAAAAAGAAAGAAGCAATACATTTAAGGGATACAAAAATAGAAAATGACCTGTTGATGATAGTATGTATTGTAATATCTTTGACTGAATCAATACATAGTGTATTCACAATGTTTACCATAATAATATACAGTGATGGAATAGAAAATAAATACATAAAGAAAATAAATAAATCTATACCATGATAAACTTAAAAAAAATTAAATAAAACAAATCCCAGGCAAGACTACACTTTTAGGAATAATTTTTACAGTTTATTACTAGAGATGCTTCTCTGAACATGTAGAGCACCACCCAAAGCCCATATGGCCTTACATAATGATTTCTTTCAAGTAGCTCAGAAGTGGGTGGTCTAAGTTAAGCGCACTGAATGAAATCACCCACAAAAGAACATGGTGCCAACTACAAACTCTGGTTGCTTACTGGCAAATATATTAATCTCCAGAAATATATTTTCTGGGATTAAACACTTTAGAAGACACAAGAAAGAGGCCAAAAGACAAGTATTTAGAACTAGTTGTGGTAAATGCTTCTGAATGCTAAACAGCACCCTATGCATTTGGGATAGGCTATAATGCTAAAGTTTCCTCATTCTAGGTCTCTAGCACAAATCCAGGTTATCTCAAGATCACATACAAACACTATTATCAAACACCAGCTGCTTTAAAGGCAAGGGAAAAGAGCACTGCTGTAGCTTAGAAGAAATTGGAAACCCAAAATTCTATTAAAAGGAGAATGGATAAATACTGTATAATACAATAGAATATACTACTCAGCAATGAAAAGCAATGAGCTACTGATAGATGTAACAATATGGATAAAACTTAAAAACATGGTGGGCAGAGAAGTCATATATAAGCACATACATAAGATATGATACACATTTAAGACTATATTTGTATGATCACTGTTTACAAGATGTTTTTAAATGGGCAAAACAATTTATGATGTTAGAAATAAGATAGGTCTCATTTTGGGGTGGGGAAATCGAAACTTGCAATCTATGCAACTGACTACATGTAAATTATACTTCAAAAAACTTGGTAAAAATTGTGTGTAAGGGATTAGAAGACAGATGAGAAAATGGGAAACAGGAATTTGCTTAAGAGTCCCACTTTTTTTTTAAAAGAATTATTTTATTTAACTTTATTTATTACTGTCATTGTTATTTTCCAGTTTGATCAGAGAGAGACAGAGAGAGAGAGGAAGTGAGAAAGCAAGCCACCAGGTCCGAGACTTGAACCATGGTCGGCAATGTGTGAGTCCAGTGCCCTTAACCACCATACCACTTGCCAGCCCCAGGAGTCCCACTTTAGAATTTATGTTTGCTTATTTATTTCTTCCATGAGGAGCGAGAGACAAAGACACAGCACTCTAATCAGGGTCCTTACACCATGATCTACTCATAGCTTTTGTACATGTATCATGGACATGTGTGCCTAGTAAACTAAGAGAGATCGCTGACATGGGCCCAGAACCTTCCCATGTGGGTTAGTCCCCACAGAGCTTTGACCTTTATGGCTGTTCCACTGTCTAGTCGCCAACTAAAAAATTTTGGATTAGAAGGAGGAAATGGACAAGACTTTTAAAAAAGAAATGATACATACTCCAAATCTTTCTAATAAGCCTCTTCCTCATACTAGAAGAAAGTACACAACAAATTCTTCCATAACAACTGCCTGGAAAAAGGAGATAAAAGAACCTTTCTTGTTAAAACGGTGCGTTTTAAAATAAAGCTTGAGTTTAGAGTCTCTTGCTTTCTTTTCTTGTTTTAATGATATACTCAGTGAACCGATTCAGGCTTTTGAAGATGGCAGAAGTGTTTGTGTATGTGTGTATAGTCAACACTTGTGAAATGCTTGGATATGTTACATGAATGAGGTAGTAATGAACACCTATGATATGAAGAGTGTAGAGAAACACTAATACTATGGTACGATAACTACTAGAGTTCTATCTATCTTAGAAGCTATATCTGAGCAATAGTAGAGTATTAATGTGTATAGGTATAGAGATCTACTTTTTCTTCATTTTTCTTTTCTCATTAAGACCAGTTATCTGGGTATTTAAGATACAGGGAATTCTTTTCTTTTTACTTTTTAATTACCAGAGGGTATACGTGCTTGCGCACACACGAGAAAACATCCAATGGTTATGCCACAATTCTTTTTCCACCATTTTTTCATCCTGTCAGGATTTGGTGCATACATGCACACGGCACCTGGCATGTTTTTCAAGTTGCCAAGGCTGGATTCAAAACATGGTGAGCCAAGTGGGATATGGTTCCACAGGCACAATGCTTAACTACTGTGTTACTGGGAAGGCTAAGGAATTCTTAATCTAATGCTCTTTATTCATTCTATTAAATAAATATGAATTCATTGTGTTATATCTATGAAATGATAGGGATACAGTGCTAAAAGAAACTATGCCCCTGGGTTGAGAAACTTACAGATCAGTGATAGAATCCATTCATATACAAGAATAACTTGAACAAAATTGTTGGGAGAATATAGAACTATCCTGTTGGGAAGTTAAAAGAAAAAGCTCCTTAAAGAATGAGACATTTAGGCTACCCTGTGGCATGGTGGTTTAAGGCAGTTGGATCTTACATGGCCAATTCTGCAGTTGGAAGCCCAGACAAGACAGCTTCAAAAAGGCACAGGTTATACATGACCAAAAAGCTGAGAGGAGAATGGAGAAGGGATTGCAGCATGGCCATTTGCCCTGGGGGTGATTTCTTATCCACCACTCCTACTGACTCACGCATAGCCCCTCTAGAAAACTAAAAAAAAAAGAATGAGACATTTAAGCTAGCCTTGCAGGAATTTCAAAGATGGAAAAGAAGGGAGGAAGATTAGATAATTTGGTGAATAAATGTGGACAGAACTCGGTGATATATGTTATCCTAAGAAAGGTAGGGAGAATGAAGAAATGAAGCCTGTGCAGAAAGTGTGGATTTACTGAGATGGCTTGAAATCTGAGCATGTGAGGTCTAAGGTGTCTGTAAAATGTTTAAGTAGATAAGTTACATGAAGTTGGATACACACAGCTTGACTTAAAACCACTCCCCCCCCCACACCCTAAGAGGCTAACTAATGATGAAGAGTGTGGCAAAGGAACTACTAAGACCCTGACTCCATTGAGGGGGGAAATCTTACGTTTCCCCATTATATCCTCTTCTTTTTCTATAAGGAGAACATTTAAAATAAAACAGAAGATGCTGCCAGAATGAAGAAAGGCTGGCCTTTTTAGGGTAAAATCTGTTCAACAAACCAATGCTCTTGGCAGTTAATGCCTCTCCTCCAAAACTACTGACTCCAACAGGGTCATTATAATGTAGAGTTCCAAGAGGACAAAAGCTTTTGGAATCTAGGTCTTTGTCCCTGCTATGTATCCACCATAATCTTAAATCCTAAGCAATCCTTCACAACTAGTTCAAACACACAGTCAAGCTTGTAACCTTCTAAGAACTGCTTCTCTCTCCTTTTTTTCCCCAAAGAGAGTTTTGCTATACGATGTGTGTACTTGCTAGAGAGAGAAAGAGAGAAATCACCCCCCCCAGGAGGTATGGTCATGCCGCACTCCTAGCGTGAGTTTCAAGTTACTGAGTCTAGGACTTGAACTGTGTTTAGCCATGTGGGAGTCTAGTGCGTTAACCACTAAGCCATCTCCCCTCCTGCTGCTTTTCTATATACCAAAAGAATGTTTATTCAATGAGTGAATGCATGCCTATCCAGAGGGAACATTTCCATTTCCCACATGGAGATGATTAAGGGTTACATCAACTGTTAAATTTCATCCCCTATATGTACTGCTTAAGGTCGAGAGCCTGGTGGACTATTCACCACCAGTCATTAGTCTTTAAGCCATTCTATTTGCTTAATCCAGGTAGGCAATTCGACTGTAGAACAAACCTTAAATAAAGAGAAATGAAAAGTGAAGAACATCTATTATACCTGGTTACAATCATACAGTCCTTTATACAGCCTTCTGATTTATTTGAATTGATCTGATGGTAATCAAGTGAACAAAAAAAAAATCAAAAAACAACTAGCAACAACACATTCCTGCAACTCTTAAGGACTTCTAAGGAGATAGGCCTCAAAAATGCAATGTGTTATACATGTACTTAAAAACAATCAAGTAATCAATGATGTGGAATATCAAACCAATAAAGGGAAAATAAGTTCTCTGTGCAAAAGCCCATCAACTTGATATACTGAATTCTGATTCAATTTCAAGAAGCTTCTAAGAATTAAGATATCTTAAAATATCTAAGACAACCAATTTAATTACATACTGAAGTACAAATGATACTCAAGTGTCAAAAAAGGAAAAACTAGGGACTAGCAGTTAACGTAATGGCTATGTCCCTGGACTCCCATGTAGTCGACCACAGTTTGAGTCCTGGACCCAGTGGCTTAAAACTCACGCTGGTCGCATGTGTGCGCATGCCCAAGATCCCGAGAGGTGAAGAGATTGCAGCGTGGCCATCCCCCCTGAGGGGGTGATTTCTTGCTTTCTGTCTCTCTGTCTGTCTGGCAAGTGCATGAGCCCTATAGCAAAGCTCTCTTAAAAAAAAAAAAAAAAAAACTATAAGATCCTACAACATTAAGAAGATCTAAAAGCTTTTTATTGATGAAACTGATACTAAGACTCAGGAAGTAATATGTCCAAGACTGCAAGGATAGAGAACCTGTTCTGGGAACACTTACTGCTGATTAGGCTCAGTCTCACTCTGCTGTGTAGAATTAAAACTCTGCATGGCTTGTACTTCTTCTTCCTCCTCATCCTCACTAGAGGCTTCTTCTGCAGCATGGTTAGATCTCGGAGGAGGAGCAGTGGCAGTGCCATCTGCCTTCTGGATTGATGGTTTCTGACAGATGTATTTAGGGTCTCTTCCAAGATTACAGATTTCTTCAAGTAACTGAAAAGTGCAAGAAATAAGATTACTTATCAGTAATTTTGACCTAGTAGGGGGGTGTACAACTTTTTTTTTTAAGCATTTTCTATGTGCTATGTCTTACGAACAAGAGAAATGAAATTTTGTAAAGTTAGACAATTTGTTAAGAATCACAATTTAAGTGACGGATGGACTCAAATGACTCCCTGTCTTAATTAAACAAGCATCAGTAACTCAAGACACTGGTTTCAACTGGCAAGGTTAATAAATGTGTATGTATATGTGTATGTGTGTATGAGGGTGGGAGAGATTGAGAAACAAGGACTAGATAAAGAAATATGCTTTTAAAAAATGTATTTATTATTATTATAGTTATTTTTAAAAATATGACACAAGCTGCTGGGTCTGGGACTCAAACCATGGTAGGCCACAGGGGGAGACCAGTACCTTACCCACGCCACCTTCTCTGGCCCTTTTCTTCATTTTATGACAGAGAATGCTTGTGTGTGTGTGCAAGAGGTAGTGAGAGAGTAAGGGAGAGAGAAAGAATCCTTGACAAGGTCCCATTACACTGGAATCTTCTCTCCCTAGACTTCCAAGTTGCTCAGGATCCTGGGTGCCCACACGCACACTTGGCATATTTTCAGGAAGATGTGGGGATGTGAACCTTTGGGTCAGGCAGGTGGCTCCCAGTACTGCAGTCTGTTATAATATGAACTGTACCACATGGATGGTGTAATTTCTTAATCTGAAAAAGTTGAAACTACCAGAGACTTCTTTGTGATAAAACTAGAACTAAAATGACTTTTTTTTTTTTTGGGCAAAGGACCAACCCAAGGACATGAAGAAAATGAGGCAGACGCAATGCTCTCATAGGCACAGTCCAAGAACCACTCTGGTTTGTAAAATCTTTCTCTAATAACTCCTTATTCACTACTCTCTCATACCCATTGTTATAGTCTTATCACTTGGTACCTTGATGATGGCAGTTGTTGCATCAGTTTTGAGGGTAGGCTGATGTCTCATGAGCTCATCAACAGCACTCCCTAGGTTGGACGCAGTATCCCCTTAAAGAAAACAATGAACTGTTAGATTGAGTAAAACAGAGCGTGTGGTCTTTCCTGCACTACCACAAGGAAGAAAGAAGAAACTAAGCTGGCTGTAATTTTCTAATGCAATGCTTTCTCGTGAATTCATACCAGCCTCCAGCCCCCAGTTACTGGGAAAGAGAAAGGAAATCAGTCCAGTAAACAAAGACTGTACTCAGTCTTGGCAACCTCTATGGTCTAGGTCTGAACTAGTATTGTAGAATGAGAGAGAACACAAAAGAGGCATAAACCATCAGTCCACTGGCTAGCCCTAAGAAAGATGTGGCTAGAATGCTACAATGATGGCCAAAAGTAGAGTACGTTTTAAAAGCTGAAATCATTACAGATATCTTGCTACTAATTCTTCATTGACCTGATCTTAAGTATAGTGAGAAAGAAATATATTCACTTGGGACTATCTTAAATACCTGAATAGTAGAACATCAGATTACCAGGGTCAATAACTCAAGATGCTGTATCTCTCATTGCTGTCAACTAGATAGTGAACCTAGAAATCTACCATTGCTCTCTTACACTCACTTCGTATCAACACCATGACAGTACAACAATGAAATATGTAGAGAAGCGTGAAAATATTCAGTAGAGACATTAAGAATGAAGTGTTCCTTCCTACCAGAACAGAATGTAGGGTGATTAATCTCCATTTAACTTAAAACACCCAGCCAGAAAAATGATCAAAGAAACATTTCCTTGCTACCTAATAGCTTACTGTCTAGTTTTTGGCACAACAGCAAACCAATTTTCTTTTCTTTTTAAAAGAATTATTTTATTTGTTGTCATCATTTTTTTAATGTTTTGAAGTTGACCAGAGAGAGACAGAGAAGGAAAGTGAGAAAGCAAGCTGCCAGGTCTGGGACTAGAACCACAGTTAGCCCTGTGGGAGTACAGATGCCTCAGCCATCACACCACCTGCTGGCCCCAATAGCAAACTAATTTTCTATTACAAAATAAATGTTGACAACATACCAAGAGGATCAGAACTCCTCCTTCTCCGCATGGCTGGGAGGTAATCTGGAGACAGAAGAACTTTGAAGAGCCGTTCAAAAGGCTGACACTGTACAAAAGACTGAAGACCTCGGGCATTCAGGCAGAGTGCACTGAATACATTTGGGAGGGATCCAAGGACTTCACGGGTAGCAGGAACCTAGAGAAGATAAATAAAGTGAGTTTGGACACAGCTAAATGAGTTCAGGGATAGATGCTACAAAAATCTGGGTAGAGGTAAGGAGAGACAGAAGGATTTTGAAAAAGTAAAGCCAATTAAATGTAACACCCCACACAGAAGACAAGAGAAAGGATTTTCATGTTAAGACTGTTTTTCTTTTTCTTTCTTTTTTTCTTTAAGAGGTTTTTGATGTAGGATGTGTACACTTGCCAGATAGAGACAGACGCAGTGAGAAGGAAAGTGACAAATCATCCCCCAGGGGGGATGGCCATGCTGCAATCTCTTCTCTATTCTTCTCCCAATATCTTGGGCACACATGAACCTGACGTGTTTTTCAAGCCACTGGGTCCGGAACTCGAACCACAGTCGGCCATGTGAGAGTTCAGTAACATAACCACTATATCAGCTGTTAGTCCCAAGACTGCTTTTCAAGTATGTAGATAACTTTAAGTGGAGGACGACACTATTCTCTACAAAGTAACAGAAAGGACTCACATCTTTGATAAGCAGTGCATGCAGCATGACATCTGTCAGTCCATTGTCTTGAAGTGAGGAGAGCAGTGATGGTTCTTGAAATACAAACACAGTCACCACTTCAGTAGCTAAAACAAAATGAGAAAATATGGGCAACTGAGAAACACTTCTTATTAAAAGAAAAGCACTCAAGACTTTAGAATAATATAGAATCAATGTGTAACAATTTGAACACTTGTGCTTACCATGAATGTTTCTAATATAATTCCATCATATATTAATTATTATTAAGAATTTACTAAATACCCTTCAAGATTCTTGTGGGCAAGTTTTTACATAAAACATGCCTTATTCCCAAATGTTATATATTCACTTCTTCTGTCACTATAACCCTTTCATTTTAAAGGGCTGCATACCATTTCAGAAGCATATATACCATTATGTATATAAATCAATTAACTTTTAATGAAAATGGATAAACTTCAATATACATCAAATTGTCTGCTTAAGCAGTAAAAATATCTAAGTGGGGATTGGCTAAAGTAACAGAACCTTAATTAGAGGGGAAATAGGCAAACTGTCTTCTAATCTCTCCCTTCCTTTTTTTGGAGAGGTTTTTGCTATAGGACGCGAGCGTGTGCTTGCCAGAAAGAGAGAGACTGAAAGTGAGAAATCACCTCCCAGAGCGGATGGCCATGCCACAATCCCTTCTCAATTCTCTCCTGGAGATCTTGACCACACATGCACATGTGCCTGGTTTGAGTTTAAGTCACTGGGTCTAGGACTTGAACCGCAGCTGACTACGTGGGAGACCAGTGACATAGCCATTATACCAACTGTTGGTCCTGACAAACTGTCTTCTGAAAATGTAATTCAACCATTTTAAACTACCACGAGCAGTATAAGCATCCTTGGGATGCATTAATGCCAATTTTAAAAGGAAAAGTAAATGGACAAGAAACTAGGAAGACTTAAATGAAAAAAGTTGAATTTTGTGAAACAGAAAGCAAAAGTCTGACAAGAACCAGTAACTAGCCCTCTGAAAATATGAAAAAAAAAACTTGCAAAGCAGACTAGATCAATAACACAAGAATTCTAAATGTAAAAACAAACAAACAAAAACAGTAATAGAGAGGCACCAAGCCAAAAATTTTATATGTGAGTATAAGTAAATATTATATAGCAATTAAGGCTTTCAAACTCATAAGACTATAGTAACTTTGATTTACAAACCTAATAAAAAGGATACTTACAAAAAACACTACCTATAAACTATAAAAAGAAACTAACTTGTTTATGGTGATACCTAAGATCTAAAAGAAGCTAGAGGATTCGGTGATAAGCACAACTCTTATTTATCTTAAATGACAGTGGAATGGCAGATATATGACAATCACTAGGTACTAACAGTTGCAATTGCCTTTTGAGAATCCTGATGTGTTCTAAACTTCTGGAAAAACATCTTTTCCTTTTTATATTTTTGTACTAGAGGGCACATGAGCTTGCTAGAGGGAGGGAATGGAGAAAGCACAATGCTATGGGGAATATTTACACTTGTCTTCTCTGTCTCTCCCTCCTTTGGGGATTTTGGGCACACATATACATGTTCCTTGAGTGTTTCTCAAGCTGCTGGATCATAGGACTCAAACTGTGTAGCTGACAACACAGCATCTGGCTGCCTTAACCACCAGGACAATGAGCTGGTCAAATTTCTGAAAAATTTAAGTCTATTCTTGGGATTCCACTAGTACATGACACTTCCACTGACTTAATTTGTACAAATAAAAATAATTCTGTAGAGTTAATAAAACCAAATATTCATAAACTAAAGTAAGAGGTCTACTAAACGTTAGTAAGATATCAAACCTGTTATTTTATTAGAGGTCTATTATGTTATGTTACAGTGCAACTGTGTATTGGGACAGCTTATACTTTCTTTAAACAATATTAAAATGACTGGACTAGCAAGTATTGCAGAGGTTGGGGTCGCTGGATCTTACACGGCAGACTGCGGTTGGTGTCCTGGACCCAGTGGCTTGAAGATCATGCTAGGCATGTGCATGTGCATGCCCAGAGTCCAAGGGGAAGAAGGCAGAAGAAGGGATTGCATTGTGGCCAAGAATAAGACAACCAAAAATTAGAATTAAAATTCAGAGTATATACACACACAAAAATAATCTACTTTGAGTGAAACATACCAAATGAATTAAGGGGAAAAAAAACCCCACAAAAAACCAAAAAAACCAAACTGAAAATTCCCCCCAAATACCAGTGGTAGGCCTATCAAAGATAAAGAGTAAAATTCCTAAAACCAGGAAAATTTATTCATATAGAAAGGGGGGGGTTGTTTCCAACCAAGTGCATGTACGTGGTTCTTTCAAAGGAAAAAGGGAGATTACATTAGTTCCTAGTATATACAGTTCTTTTTTTTTTTTGGTTTATTAGAAAGCTTTTGTTTTGTTTTTGTAGGGTACATGTGCTTCCTTGAGAGACAGACAAAGACAGTCAGAAAGAATGTGAGAAGTCACCCCCAAGAGGAATGGACACGCTGAAATCCCTACTCCTCCCAAGATCTTGGGCATACATACACACAAGCACATATGCTTGGTGTAAGTTTCAAGCCACTGGGTCTGGGACTTGAACCACAGTTGGCCATGTGGGAGTCCAGCAACATAACCACTATGCTGTCTGCTGGTGCCAACATTCTTAAACAGGAATGCTACTTCTGGATTAACCTTATTACAGAAATACTAAATTGGAGGCCACTACAAAGTCTGGGATGGCAAAGCATATTACTCCCATAATGAATCAGCACCTCCAGCATCCCCAAACTTGCAAGCCACAGGCTTCAAAATATCACTGTGGAATATTCGAGGTCTGGTTGGCTTGGCTATGCCTCATTTGGCTCAGGACCTGGGTCTGGTATTCTACTATTTTATCTCAATGCCAAATTCCCTGGGCTCCATTTTGCCCATGCAGTGATCCTACTTGTTTAAAATCAGTTCATTAGCTTTCCCATAGAAATAAAACGATGACAGAATTCTTGTAGGTAAAGGGACAACTGATTGCAGTGGTTAGAAAAGTGTCCCTTGAATGCACAGACAAGAACCCCCAGAAATAAACCCCAAATGTATAGTCAACTGATTTTTGACGAAGGGCACCACCAGTAAATCCAATGGGAAAAAGAAAACCTCTTTAACAAATAGTGCTGGAAAAACTGGGTATCCACCTGCAAAAAGATGAAACTGGATCCCTCTCTCATATCACTAACAAAAATCAATTCAAAATGGATCAAAGATCTAAACCTAATACTAAGACCTCCAACTACGAAAATACTGGTGAAAGACAGAGGAAACTTAGAGACATGGGAATAGGCGATGATTTCTTGAACAAGACCCCTGTAACACAGGCAATAAACCCAAAATAGACAAGTGGGATTACATTATACTAAAAAAGGTTCTGCACAGCAAAAACAAACAAACAAACACAGTAGAGTGAACCCTCGGAATGGGAGATTATATTTGTAAACTGCCTCAGACAAGGCACTGATAATCAGAAATATATGGTAACTAAAAAAAATCTTACGCTCCCCCTGAAAAAAAAAAAAAAAACCCAAAACTCAAAATCAACCCAATTAAAAGATGGGTTGGACCAGCAATTCATGTAATGGCTATGTCGCTGGACTCCCATGTAATCAACTGTGGCTCCAGTCTCGGACCTGGTGGCTTAAACTCATGCTGGGCGCGTGTGCCTGTGTGCTCAGGATCCTGAGAGGAAGGGACTGCGAAGTGGCCATTTCCCCTGGGGAGTGATTTCTCACTTTCTGTCTCTCTCTGTCTTTCTGACCAACGCAAGCACCCTATGGCAAAAACCTCTCAAAAAAAGGAAAAAAAAAAAAAAAAGATGGGCAAATGAGCTAAGACATACGGATGGCCAAAAAGCTTATGAAAAAATGTCCAACATCTTTATCATAAGGGAGATGAAAATCAAAAGTACAATGAGGTATCACCTAATCATAGTCAAAATGGTTAAGATATTTTGTTTGTTTTCACTTATTTATTTTAATTTTTTATATAAATTCAATCATATTATTTAGCTTACACAGTGAACATTTTAATTTTAGTATGTGTGTCAACATTCCTCCCCAGTCCAGTTGATCAGAGTATCTTCCACCTAAAAATGGTTAAGATTTTAAAAAAAGGAAGACTGGTAAGTGCTGGCCAGGCTGTGGTGAAAAGGTAACTCTCTTACATTGCTGACAGGAATATAAATTAGTATAGCCACAGTGGAGAACAAAATGGAAGTTCCTCAGAGACCTACAAATACAACTACCATCTAATCAAGCAGTTCTACTTCTGGATATCTACCCAAAGGATATGGAAAAGCTCAGTCAGGAGAAAACACCTTCATGGCTCCTGAAAACTAGTGATTTCAGGGAATAAAGTAGTAATAAAAGAGTTTCTACTGATAATTCGGCCTCCAGCCCACAAACTCCAGTGGTAGGAGCCTTTTCTCTGCCTCTGCCTCCATCTCTCTCTGCCTCTGTCTCTGTTTTCTGTTTTTTTTTTTTTTTAATTTTTCCTTCTAAAATTTTTTAAGGTAAAGAACTTTCTCAGTTTTCTAATCTTCGCTTTTTTAAAAAAAAAAATAATTTTTTTTCTTATTTGTTTTTTACATTTCCTTTACTTTTTCTATGTTTCTTGGTTGTTTTTGTTGCTGCTGTTTCTCTCTCTCTGATTCCTTTTCTGCATGCTCCTAGACACTCAGATTGAATTTCAAGTTTGGGAAGAAATACCCCTTACATCAGATGACTAGAAATCACTGCAGGAACATAAGAAATATGGGAAAGCAAGAAAATACCTCTCCTCCACGGGAAAAGAATAACTCCTCTTCATCCACAGACAGTTCAATGGAAATCATGGAAATGTCTAACAAAGAATTTAGAACATTCATAATGGCTAAGCTAACAGAGATGGAAGAGAAGAGAGACAATGAACTGTAGAAGAGAAAGGAGAAAACTGACCAGTTGCAGGAGATGAGGAAATTCTTGCGAGATTTAAAAGAGGAATTACACACTTTACAAAAGAATCAAATGAAAATGTTAGAGATGAAGACTATAAAGCAGGAA